TTTCCTTTCCTTTCCTTTCCTTTCCTTTCCTTTCCTTTCCTTTCCTTTCCTTTCCTTTCCTTTCCTTTTTCTTCCCTTGGCATAACGTGGCTTTCCTCCAAAAGGAGTAACGTGATAGGGAGAGAAGTGCAAGGGAACACAAGAACACCCTGCCAGGCAACTGTAGGCACAGCCTTTCTCGCCCCCTTTTGCCCACCGCCTTCTACTCAGTTCTTTTCTTTCGGTTCAGCATCTCGAGCCTCCTGGTGTTAAAGTGGTTACAGAAGTCCTGGGAAGAAGGGCGGAGGAAGCTGAGGCTCTGCCGCTCAGGGCAGGCTTTGCCATCCCGGCACCCGACAGGAGGAATCCCACTCCCACTGAAATACGTCCAGGATGGCAGCGCCGTGAATCTCAGGCCCGCGGCTCTCCTGGCGAGGGAGGTCCTGCTCCCTCGGGTTTCCACCCACAGGCCTCGGTCTTGCCCTCAGCTTGCACTTTCCGCCCAATGGCCTTTCGGACCTTTGAAGACAGCTGCCTGGTCCCCCTTAGCCCGCCCCGCAGGAAGGCTCGGGACGGTGCGTGTTTTAGAGAAGGTCTCTTTTACCCACCCTTTGTCTGGAAAGGGTCCTCTTGTTTTGTGGACATCAGTCTGGCCAGTTCAAAGTTCCATCTCTCTGAGGCATGAGGGTTTCTTGGGAGCTTGGAAAACCAAGATCATCTGAGCAACCAGGACAATCCTGGGCAAGATGGAGCGATGCTGTGATGGCACCCTAGGGCAATGGTTTCAAGATAGGATAGGATAGCGGGCTGTCATGGTGTGCTCAACCTCCATCCAGACTGAGCGTACAGGAAACACATGCATATTTTCTCCTTATCTCCCAGCCCTACATAATACAGCTTCTGCTTAACCCAGAAGCTGCTCTTGTGTTTGAGTATTGATGCCCCCCCCCCCGGATTTTCCCAGCAGGATCATCTCCAGTTCCTATTTTAATCAACTCTTGTTGCCAAATCTTCCACCAGCAAAGTGGCTCTAAATTACTATTTCCCTGCCTTCTGTATTAGCTAATAAGAAAAAATAAAAATAAAAATCCCAGCTCCATTTGTGAATTTTGAACAGCTTTACTTATATCATTAGGAAGCAGAGACACACAGGCACAATGGTAACTTCAAATGACTCTCAGCAATTGAACTCAATGGGTGAATCAATATCCTGCAGGCAGGAGAGCTCCCAGTTAACAATCCTGTCTCACCAAGAACAAGCTGAGCAGCCTCCTTAAAGATCTAGTGCATTTCAAAAACGCAAGCTATTCTTAAACGACCCAGCTTTCTCCCCACCACACCCTCACCCCTTGGCAAATGTGCCCCCTCTGACTGTCTTTGTAGAGAGCCTTGTGTAGGATCCTGCTCTCCCTCCCTACTTCTGGACTAGCCCTCGCATCTGCTTCTCAGCTCTCTGCTTCTCCAAAGCTCCCCCAGCCGATTCACAGGGCAACTTCTCTGCTGGTGAAACTTACCAGCCTCTCTCTAGGCACCTCGGCCAGCCGATCTCTTCAGTCCTTTACATGGCCCAAGCTCCCTGTCTCTTGCTACCTGCAGGGCGTGAAACCGCAGCTGGGCCAACTGCTGCAGGAAGAGAATGCTTGGTCTTTCTCCCATCACTGCTTGCTTGCCCATCAGCAGTCTTTTGGAGAGCAGGCTTCCCACTCGACTGGTTCCCAACATCTTTCCTTTGTTCTTTCTTCTTCCTCTTCTCCTTCTTTGGTCTTTATGCACCCAAACTGTGGGGTTTTATAGGCTCCTGACCTAGCACTCTCCAGTCTCTCTCCCTCCCACCTCCTGACTAACTTAGGAGCTGGTTGAAGTGTAACCTGGGCGCCAGAAAGTCTCTAGGTCCCTCAGTCTCTACAGTAGGTCCTATTTCCTACATCCTGCAATTCAATTTAGCCTAACACACAAGCTTACATCAATTTTCCTGCAACCAGTGGGTTGCATTAACATGTCATGAGCCACTGACCCAAACCCAAGTCTGTTTCTTCAGAACCATAGGTCATTACATCCAATTTGGAATTCCTTAAACTGCAGAAAATGCTAGGGTACAAAAAGGGTACACTGGCTTAAATGTGGAGTTGGGGTGTTTTAGGGAGAAAGTGTTTCCTGTTATGACCTACATCAGTCTTTTCCCCAAACTGGCACCTTCCAAATGTGTTGAGACAACAGTGGGCAGCATTCCCAGCCAATATAACCAAAAGCCAGTGTGCCAACTCCCTAATTTAGGATAGCTAAAGCATCTGGTATGTTGATTCCCATGCTGAGAGACCCCAATAAATGGAATTCATTTTTTGCTTCTGAAGAAAGTCTCTCTGACATAATCCCGATTATCCAGTAGCGCGACTGTTGAAAAATAGACTACGCCTTCTCCGTTCCACAAGGGTCATCAGGAAGGTGGGTTTAGCTGCTAGATCATTTTTTAATTGCTGACAAGACATCAGCAACTGTCAGTCTTGCCAAAGAGGGTGGCTTTCAATTATTCTCCTCCATAAAAAACAAAGAAGAAAGAGAAAGAAAAAGACTTGGTGAAGGAGCAAGTAAGGCTCTGCCTACCAACATTCAGGCAGGAAGTCCAGATGCCTCTCCAAGTATCCTCAACCACAATATGTTGTGAATTTATGCTAAAATCCAAAGTCTTATTCAAGCATATAATAATTCGTAACTCATTTAGCTAGTCTGCTTGTATTGATTTTTTGGGAATTCTATGAGTGTTTGTAGCTTCCCATGTTCTTCCTGTATATCCCTTTTCCAATAAATTAATTTGCATATCTAGGGATTTGGCTTTGTTGATTTAATAAGATTTTTCTCTTTAAAGCCTTCCTCATATGCAAGGCTGGACATTTTCCCAGGTCTCCACTGTATTTCGAGATTGGCACCAGGGTTCTCAGCTCCTTTATTGCTGGGTTTTGGGCCAGAAGGTCTACAGAACCCTTCTCTCGGTTTTTTTCGGGGCTGTCAGAGAAGTCCTTGGCTGAGACCAAAATACTCCCCGGATGGGCAAACTAGGAGGTGCCAGGAGTTCAGCCTGATGGCTGGTGGCTGTGCATAATTCTCTGTCAGAGTCTGCACGCTCAGTCCCCAATTCCAGTAAATCTCCTGGAGCCGGTTTGTTTCCAGTAAAGGTTTCTTTATTGAGAA